TTAAAGATGAAAACAATGGATATGAACATACTGGTCAAAACTAAGGTTTAATTCAATTGATTTGTAATACCTTGCTTCCTCCCTCATCCGTAAGAGGGAAATGCGCTTTATGATCAGGTTCCACATTTGTGAAGACCTTAGTAAGAACGTTTTTGAGTTTTCCTATTCTTTCAGGGCCAACAACGGGAATTCCAAAAATAATCAAGCAGGCCTCCTCATATTCATCTTTAGATGGCTGCTGACGCAACACGTCCATAACAAGTTCTGCAAAGTAAACAATTCTCTCCAAAAATCTCCAAAATGTACTTCGAAATAAATCAAGAACAAAACATGCTTGAGCAAACTTCTGGCCAATTTTTATGATGTAAGGTTAGACAAGGCGCGTTACAAAATTTCAAACTATGAAAATTGCTTTGAAAAACATTTACCTTCGTCAGTAATGTCATCAACATAGTCCTCAGGATCGGAGAAATCAGGCTCCTCCTCATTTTCTTTATTAAGGTCGATTTCAACCATACTTGCAAGAATCTAGCTAATCCTGCGTTTTGCCCTAAAACAAACTCTCAGAATTCTAATGTGAAAACCCTTCCACTGTACAAAGTAATCTCTGAATAAACGTAATTGCTTTTTAAAAAAAATAATGGGCAAAGTTGCACCGAGATGGACAATCAACTCGGCTAAGCAAAGTTTGTGCAACAGGCGTAACATGTACAAGAAACAGACGCATAATTGCGGGAGCTTAGGCCTACAGTATGGAAAGTCAACGCTAACCGAAGCATGCCCATTTTCATATAGTCAGGTACAAATGTTTCCGGGTCTTCTCACCAATGGGCGGTTTATAGCGATGGAGCAATTGATACATATAGACGGATAGTGGTAACAGCTTTTGATCATACTCCACTCCTAAGAAACTGTTTGCCTGGAGAAATTGCCTAGAAATTCTCGTTGTAAATCATAAAGACTGTCTGGGCAGTTGAAATCTGGACTACAATGAATGATCTTTTCGCAAGTGCATGAAGATTACCATTTTTTTAGATGACGTAACAAGTATGTCATGTCGAAGGTTCTTCTCTTGCTTTCGTTGAGAAGTAAGTGGTGCGCCTCACAACATGCCTTAAAAAATGCAGGCCCGGGAACTTGGAAGTCGACGTAGTCAGAGATCGCTAGCCGCATATTTTCGATGTTGAGGCAGCTAAGGTGGATCGTCAAACAGTATAATGAGACGCTACCCAGCTTCCCCGTCCCTCGACTGCCAGCGCACGTTTTGCAAGGAAATAGGTTGCATCCCTAAGGGGGATGTGCTGATTGACCAGTAGGTCAAAGGCGCATTCGATAGAAAAGGGCGCGCGCCCGAGAAAGAATTGGGTCACGGGAGCAAAGTCATTCTACTACGAGCCACAGTT